ACTTTCGCCCAAGTCTCCCTTGCTGCATTAATCAGATACGTTGTGAATCATACCTCAACTGAACTCCCTCTAGATGGTAAAATCTTAACATCATTTAGTATCTCGGGAAACTGTTGGGTTTAATCTTTTGTTCTGAGCTACATCTCATGTGTTAACCAATCTGCCCATTACTCTCCCAAGTTCTGCTCTGAGGAAATAATATCTTCCTTTCATAACAGAGGAGAACACAGGAGAAAGGAGACTAAGCATGTCGTACTATCAGGTGAAGAGGTGAGGAGGTGAGCTGCTTTTCATACACCCAAATCAGACTGCAGCACAGAGGCGATTCTCGCAGAACACTGAAGGATTTGAAATCAAAAAGAACCATAAACGTCACGGCTAAACAAAATGTTTCCTCATTATTTACTGGAAATGTTCATGTTCTGGGGTACTTTCAAAATGTTAAGAGACAGAATTGCCTCCAAAAAAGAAAAGATCTTTTGGAATGTGGAGGAACCATCTACTATCGTGGCTTTGAGATTGTTACCTCAGGCAGCAGTGTGAGTCGGTAAAGAAGGATGGACATTCAAGCTTCAAAGCCAGGCCCTCTGTGTTGCCTTGACTCAGACTGGCCCTCCTGGCTCAGTTGCTTTCTGTAAAATGAGGAATTTAGGAACAGAAAGTGGGCAGGAATGTGGGGAGGATGGGAGAAAAGTTCAGGGAGGGAACAACATGATCAAAATACACTGGCTTAATTTTTTTAATAAAAAGATAGAAGAAAAAAATGAGAAACTTTGATATGGTGGAGCCTCATTTGGACCAACTCTAACTCTCACATTCAACTCTAGTCCCAGAAAAGTTGTAAGAATGAAGTGGGAAATTATGAAATCACCACCAAAAAATTATCCCTTAACACTCTTAGAAGAGCACATATAGTTAAACATTCACTGAAATTATTGAATTAATGTTGGAACTCTATGCTAGGTACTCATTCGAGCACTGGGAGACAATAAGCAGTGTGCTTAAGGTCCTGGGAAATGTGTCTTTAGAGAGTTGTAGATAAGCCAGCCATTCCTAATTCTCAAAACTTTGACACTGACTCAGATTTCAAAATGCCAGAGGCCAAACCCACAGAGAGACTGAAGTCAGAATATTTCAGGAAGAGAGAAGTTGGGTAATATCTATGATGAATAGATCATAAACCTGCAGGTGGAAATCATATATAAAGAAATTAAACAGGGCAATATGACAGAGACCCAAGCAGCCTTGCAACACTTTAAAAGTCAGAGAGGGGGTCCCCAAGGAAGTAACATCAGAGACCAGAATGACAAAGGACATCCTAATATGCAGAATAGGGAAAAACAGCTCTCTTTGTGCAGAGAGGGAGGCACAAAGGATGTGATGCATAAAGACACGAGTGCACTCCAGGGGCAGAGAAATCAAGGGGTGACATGGCATCCTGGGAACTGAAGTCTTATCTCTTTCAGCAGTGCTTTTCTTTGGGCCTAGTCTCAAACCTCTTTCTTGCTCAACTTGAATTATTTTCTTAGGCTGAGACGATAGTTCAGTGGGTAAAGCAGTTGTTACACAAATGTGCAGAACTGAGTCTGAATTACCAGAATGTTTGTCAGCCAAGATGGGAGCTGGAGACATGAGGGTGCCCTGAGGCCTTTTGGTCAATAGGCCTGCCATACATAGTAGCTAACATAACATAGTAGCCTGTCTCAGAGAAGGTGGAGATTGAGGGCTAACGGCAGAGGTTGTCCTGTGACGGCCAGGGTCTATGTACATCTAGGCTCACACCAGTCTAGATACTCATGTCACAGATGCATGCATCATACACAGAGAGAGAAATAAAAATTTTTAAAAATATACTTATTTTCCTGTCAATTGTAAAGAACACTTTGCCAGGCAAAGATACCCAGCTAGCCTGCAGCGTTCATGGACGATTTGTTCCCAATAGACTCCTTTGATGTCAAACCTATGTTTGTCATGTCTCCTGCCTGTTATACAAAATTGGGTAGTATTATCAAATTGCCATCTCATTTCCACCCATTCAATACCTATTGCAATGTAAATGCTCCCCAAACAGCTATGGCTTTAGAGAACAATGACACTAAAACATACACATGTTTAGCATAGACAGTTTTTCCCTTTCTCCCGGTCCTGGAATCTGATCATATGATGGCCCGAGAAGGGGAGAGCAGACTGGGCACATACACTTAGAGAGCAGTAAATGGGCAAAAGCTACGAACACAGATGCCAGCATGTGTAACATGAGGGGGCCGGCTTGTTGGGGTTTCGGTCCCACCCAGTACTCCACAGCTGGCAAGCCCCAAAGAAAATCACACAGAGTCTACATTAGCTTATAAACTGATTGACCCATTAGCTCAGCCTTCTTATTTGCTCTTGTAGCTTATATTAACCCATTATTCTTATCTATGTTAGCCACATGGCTCCATATCTTTCACAGCCGGGCAGATTACATCCTGCCTCTTCAGTGGTCTGGGCTGGAATTGCGGAGGGAGCTTCCTGCTTCTCAGAATATTCCTGTTCTCTTTGCTCCACCTCTACTTCCTGTCTGGTTTTCCTGCCTATACTTCCTGCCTGGCCAATCAACATTTATTTAAAATATGATTGACAGAATACAGACAATTCTCCCGCACCATACATGGGCAACCTCGAAGTCCCCTCCACTGCTTCCAGGATCCAGGATGTCCTAGTCTCTGGGCATTTATGATCTCACAGGTTACCAACCTTGGTATTTCCCAGGAGTTCATTATGTAGAATGTAAATATGTCTGAGAGGGATTAGTTTCTGATTTGTTTTCCAATTTCCCAAGGACATTTCCCAGCAGCAGTTTAGTAACTGTGACAATGGTGGGCAATTTCTACCCTCTTCTTTCAGGAGCAGAGACAGCCCTTCTAGGGACATCTCAAAAGACATCTTCCATAGATGGGTACACAGCAGCTCCTCCAGAGACATATGTTTCCCGTGTGTACCTGATGAGGATGTATTGATTTTGTCCTCTGAAAAACAACAGGCTTGTAATTAATGTCGATGCCTGTAACTCCAGCTTCAGGGGATCCAACACTCTTTTGGCCTCCGAATGTACTCACATCCATATGGGCATATACATACACACATATGTGCATAAAATAAGTAAGTCTTTAAAACAGAAATTTTGAGTCTTTGGGATTTTAAAAGTATTTCTCTATCTGAAAGATTAGTTTCATTTCAAAATCAAGGCTTCTGAGATCATCACAAACTTCCCACTGTCCTCAAGAAAACAAACAGCAGTAACGCTAGCAGGGATGCTGTGGGGGCAAGAGCCCTTGGATACTGGTGCAGTCACCATGGGAATCCATGTGGAGGTCCCTCAGGAAGCTAGATGTAGAACTACCATGTGGTTCAGACATACCACTCTGAGCACACACTGGAAAGGATCCAAGCCATCATGCTGCAGAGATGCTTGCACAGCTTTGTTTACAGCTGCAGTGTTCACAATGGCCAGGAGGTTGAACCAGCCTACATGTCTACCAACAGATAAATGATGGAGAAAATGCATGTACACTATAGTGTTATGGAAATAAAGATAAAATTATGACAGTGGCAGGAAATAAATGGGGTTCTAAATCATCATGCTGTGAGAAACTGGGTTTAAAAAGACAAATGTTGTCTTTTCTCTAATAAACAGTGTGTGTGTGTGTGTGTGTGTGTGTGTGTGTTTTCACACGTGCACATGCATGTGCGTGCATGTGCATTCATATGCGTGTAGTAACAGTAGAGACTGTTTAGGAGGAAGAAGGAGACAATAAATATAGAGAAAGGATACCAGAAAAGTTAATCTGGTGGAAGTCAAGAAAAATACATAATATGCATGTATGAAAATATCAAAAGAGCATTCCTTTTGTGTAGCAAATGTAGGTTAATTCTAGTATAAAAATAAACAGAAAAAAAATGACTGTTAGCCTGACAGAAACCTTCCTAACACCTGCATCCTTGTGGAGTGGGGCAATATTTTGGAACAAGAACCATAGTTTTCCTCGTCTGTCCCTAACTAGTTACGCAGCCGTGTTAATGACATCTTCAGCTCTCGAGTTTCAGTGACTTTTTTGTTAAATAAGATTGCATTATCCCGAAGTCAATTGTTTCTTATCTGTGGTGTTTGGGATTTGCTGTTTCTTTTTAAAGAACTATCCTGTCTGCGTGGACTCTGGCTGTGGGTGGAGACAGGGTCGGGTGGCTGCCTCCCTCCTGCTGAGGTAGAGCATATGCACATTGAGCAGAATTCCATGCCAGCCCTGTGAACAATGTGTGCATGGTGCAGGGTTCTCAGTTACAATTGTTTTATTTTTATTCTCTGCTGTTTGTTGCATAGAACCTATTTCCCAGTTTTTCTTCCTCATACAGGCAGCCTCTAAACATAGCATGGTTTCTATGGAAACATACTTTGGCGTAGAGATTCCAGAAACACATTTTATTTGAAAAATAAAGATTGTCAGATTAATACACTTAAATCTGGGCTGTGACCCAGATTTCGTATTTTATGAATTAATTTGACTTAAAAGAGAAGCTTACAATTGGTTGAAAAGTGTTTCTGTGTGGTTTCTTTTCCTAGCTAAGTTGAGCTGGTAAAATTTTTACTTTCTTAGTAAGAGTCAAATTTCTGTCTTTTGTTTAAAGTTTTATTGAAACAGTTAAGCAGATGGGTCTGTTACATGTAGATTCTGTTATTTTATATCTTCCAAGTATTGAGTACTGTTCAATGACTGAACAGCAGACGGAACAAGTACAGGTGATGCTTATCTTTTCTGTAACAGTTTGAAAATAGTCTCCACTGATACTCCAAAGGAGACCATAGTGAACTTGCATTGCAGTTAATAACATTTCGGTTGTTTTGAGTTTCTGTAGCTGAACACTGATTGGTATGACTGGGGCGCATCTGCTTGTAACAGTTGAAGCTATGTTGGTTCCTTTTTCTCTTCCTGTGTTATTAAATTCACACTTGTTTTACTTCATGCTTTGATGTCTTAAGACAGCTAAAGATGACTGTGCGGTTATGACAGAAGAAGCAACAGCTCGTGCAAGAAGATGGGACCTTTGGGAGAAACAAGTGCCCGGTAAAAGTTACAGCAGCAGAAGGCCAGTCTTCAAGAGAACCACAGCTCCACACAGCAGCCTGCCTGGGAGAAGGGAGCCGTGAACAATGGAACGTGAACAGACACCATCAGAGAGAAAGCTACAGGAAGTATTTCCCCATGCCTTGCTCATTCTGAGTACAGAACATTTGGGGTAGTACAAAAAAGCAGGATGAGAAACTGCGTTGGAAGATCCCTCTACCGTTTTCAGTTTAACTTTGCAAATAAGTCCATTGGGAGTGAAAACAAAAGCCTTTCCACCAAGGAGAAGTTTTGAATCTGTCCCACTGTAGGCAGAGATAAATGTCCCTCTGAGCTCAGATGGTTTATCAGGACTCTGTATCTGGGCTGTTGGACTTCTTGAGACCACAGTGTAAGGCTTGAGCTATTTCCTCACTTCATGACCCTGCTCATGTGTCTGTTGATTGCGGTGTTAGGGTAGTCTTGGTTCCAGCAACTGCCTTTACTGCACTGCACTGCGCACTGCGCACAGTGCCTCGGGCTTTTCCATCAGGACCAATCACAACCAGAAAGGAGCAGGCAAGTACTTTTGGTGGCAATGTTTGGTTTTTGGTAGGAGTATCTAGTTTTGGTAATTGGTTTTAATGAGCAAAAAATTACCCAAGATTAGTTACAGGCTTTTGGAAGATAATGGGGTTATGGCCACAATGTAAAGTTTTGAGAGAAAATGTAGGAAGTTCCTGAAAAATAACAAAAGGCAGGCCAGTCTCGTGTGTCATGGGACACACCTTTGAGTACATTATAGAGGAGGAAATGATAAGATGTCAGAAAATCTGATGGGCTCTTTTATTTATCCGTTTATTAGTTTTTAAGTTAGCACACAAAGTGATGTTTCGTTATACTTTCAATCGTGTGCGTCATCACCCTGCAATGTTCTTACTCACCCCTCCCCGACGGCCGCCTCCATTTTCTCAGCTCGCCATTGCACACCTGTCTCCCTTCCCCCAAATTGCCCACCTTTTAAAATGTAATATTTTCTATTCTTCCTTTCGCTTGTCATGCTCTCCTTTCCAGTTTCATAACTTATCATACATGCATCTGTACACCAACACATAGATGCATGGATGTGCACAGATTGTTTTACATCTAGGTTCTACTTGCTGTATATGTCTTTCTGAGGCTTTTCCTACAAAGTCCTGATTTCAGTTTTCTCTACGGATGCAATCCAAACTAATTCTTGAAGGGAGGCATCATTCAGTCATTTTCTAGCTACAGGGAAGTTTAAATACCTGTCTCATTGTAAAGCAACTGCTTAACGGCGGGACTATTTGTTTTTTCCCGAATTCTCTATTCTGCCTTAGGACAGCACACTTAAACTGTGATACTGTGCAAGGATTTAGGCTTAGTTTCAGATTAATTTCAAAATTTAAATAAGTTCAAAATTTAAATAAAATTTCAAAACTACATTAAATTAGTTTTAAACTTAAATCATATACACTGAGATTTGAAAAAGACCAAAGTTTAGGCACTAAATTAGTATTATATTTGCTGATTTTAAGGTCATATGAAATATAGTTTTACATAAAAATAGGCAGATATTATATCTTTTGAATGTATGTCCATTATTAAAATGCTTATTTTGTCTATAAATATTTAGATTGTTACGGAAGTTGTAATGTTTTAGGTTTACTAAGTACAATAATTGTGATAGGTTCAAACAAATTAAAAAAATAGCTCTTGTCTCCAATAAAAATGTCATATGTGCATAAAAACTCCAAAGTGATTAGATTTAGCATGTGAATGACTTCTCATTCTGATATAAATAAATTCCACTCTACCTGTCACCAGGTGGGCAGAAGGCACATGAGGACAGGCTTCAGAGCCCTGGCAAGAAGCTAGAGCTGCCAGTAGAGCTGAGTCTTATGTTAGAGCAGAGGTCTTGAGAAACTATTGTCACTTAGTTAGTGAGATACTTATTAAATACATATCGGTGCAGTGACAGTTTTAAATATCATAGTTATCTGTGGTGACAGTAGAAGTCAAGAACTAAAACTGCCTTTTATGGTTTAATATTAAAAATCATGATTTTTTAAAAAAAAAAGAATCGTAAAGTTGTCTGAAGCACACTAGCTCACTGAGTGTCTGAATATCCATTCCTGCAGTCAGCACAGCCTTCCCCCTTCCACAGCGAAAGCTGCTGAAGCTGCAGTGGCTCAGGGCCCATTCTCAGCTTCTAAATCCAGAGCTGCATGCATTTGCTGGGTGGCTGAAAGCCACCTCAGTTTTGTCGCTCACTTCACGATCTGCCCCTCCAACTCTCACACTTGAACTGGATTAATGACTGAGAAAATCACTGTCCAACAGCATTTCACCAAAATCTAGCACAAAAACCGGTGTGTGGAAGGATCTGGTTTAAGCAGACATAGAAATAGGTCCAGGGATCGGCATGTGCTGAGGAGCTTCTGGCCCAAAACTACCCCCAGAAAATGATCTCAAATGTCATCTGAGATACCTTGTGCAATAATGACACACCCATAATGTGTGGGTTTTCTCTACAACTGCTGTTAATCCATTTGCCTGAAAATTGTGGGTTGCGTTTTTAAATCTGATCTGAATGTGCACTGGGTTTCTACTGATGCCAGCTTCCCCTGAATTTGGTTATTTTGTGCAACATGAATATGCTGCCTTGACATTCAATCTGTGGCCTGGGGAGGGGCTCACTGCAAGCAGGAAGATCTGAGTCTGGATCTTCACGGCCTGCCTAAAAGATAGACGTGGAGGCATTTGTCTGTAATTCTGGCACTGGGAGGTGGGAGAAGGGTGTAGAGACACACGGATTCCAGGTAGTCTGATAGTCAGACTATCTGAGTTGAAAAGTTCAAGGTGCAGTGAGAAACTCTTGTATCAAAATTTCAAGTGGAGAGTCATCGGGAAGGACAACTGATACTGAGTGACTGCCATACAGGTTTACATGCACACAAGTGTGAGCACACAGGTACACAATTGATTTCAGGTACTGACGGAGATTGGGGCTCTTAAGATTTACAAATTACGTAGAGATTTCTCTCTCATGCTACACCTTGTCCTCATCTGTGGATATGAACATATCTGTTTGTAGAATACCTAGGGCCACAGCTCTGAACTTTGCATTCAAACAAATTCAATTTTCTTGTTTAATTTCACTCACTATTGTCTCTAGTTTGCTTGAATTACTACGTGGAATCTCTAACAGTACTTCTTTTGTATGATTTCAAGGTTTTTAAAGGGTCCTCAAGGTTTGAAAAGTTGAATATTTGTACATGATTCATAGTCTCAATATGTCAATCATAATTCTGTAAAACTTTTGATTTCACAGTTTATGATCCAATTTCTTCGTGACAAGCCATGGGTGTGATGAATGCAACCATAATGTCAAATGGCTCAAGCACAGACCAAGACTACTGTGATGCCTTCTGCAGAATTATTTTGATAATTGTCTACAGTGTGCCTTTGTTTGGAGGCACCGCTGGAACAATTATGATGTCATATATAATGTTCAAAAGGAATAGCCAATCAGCGATTGCCACAATCATTATAAATATCATTGTACTGCACTCCCTCCTCCTGATTAGCCTGCCATTCCGCCTCAGCTACTATCTCTCAACAGTCTGGAAGCTTGGGTCTTTTGCATGCCGAGTGGCTAGTGGCATCATATATGGTCATATGTACTTTACTTTTGTTTTTTATGTGGCCATTGTCATACTTCGTTTGCTCATCTATTTTAAGAAACTCCAAATGCAACAGCTACAAAAGTTCCATGCCGTGGTTCTAAGTATTATTATTTGGATGGTAGGAAGCTTCATCTTTTTGCCAATATTTTTTTTACAGTATGGCACAGATCCAAGTTACTCAGAGCAACAACAACGATGTTTTGAGTTTCATAGATCTCTCAACTGTACAGATATCATCATCATAAACTACTCTACAATTGCCATTATGATGACAACAGTTCTGGTCCTCTTTCTGACTCAGCTCGCTGTAATTCTTTGTTTGATAAGAGACTATTGGCCTGATATGTGGGCCCATCAGGATTTCCGAGCTCAAATCAACAGTTTCTTCTTCCTGGTAGTCATCGTTGTCTGCTTCATACCCCACCATGCATTCAGGGTATATTTTATTCAAAATTACCCAGAGGAAAAGAATTCTAAATTAATACTTTACAATGAAATCTGTGTTGCTTTAACAGCCTTCTGCTGCCTGGACATGTTGTGTTTCATAGGTGGCATCATCCATTAGACCCTCCTATGCCTTTTTTGTAACTGCTTTATGGAATATCACGATGAAACACACTCCAATTGAATAGGTGAGGTGCTGCTATCATCTTAAAAAAGTTCCAAGCTCACTGTTCCTGAACACCAAATTTTTAGATTTCTCTTAGCCAAAATTGCTTTCATACTAAGACTTAGTTAACCCCCTAGTCATCCCACTTTCCTTTGAGAATACTTACAGTTTCCAAATGTATCTCAAAATATGTTCAATTGTTAGCCTTAGGCCAACCAAGCACACAATTCCTTCCTTTGTCCATTTCATGCAATATTCACTTCAGTCAAGTACATGTTGGTTCTTCCAAGTATTCCTGACACATTTAGTCTACCAAGTTTTGCCCTGAATGTATTTGTTTTCCCAATTCCTGTCCAACAAAATCTAGAAACTTAATAGATAGGGAATCTACAGATAAACAGGGTTCTAAAATAGTCTTAATTTGTTCAACTTACAATTTCCTGCTGATATTGGTTTCGGGAGGGGAATATTAGCTTGGATAGCATGATCAAGAGAGTTAAAGAAACTCTTCCAAGACACTGGACATCGATGTGGTTCATTGTAATCAAGACACAGTAGGATAGCAGAAGTTACCTCCTTATCTACCTTCAATACAAAAGCAGTAAAAGACATTGAATAAGGCATCAAGAAACTGGACATAGGCTAAGTTTTCAACAGACTCTTTGAGTACAAACTTTTGAGGCCATAGAGTGCTTTTTATGATTTTCCAAGATACCCTACACATCTGAGAACAATTATATGATTAAACAAGAGCCTGTGTCTGCCATGGTCAATAAAAGCAATCAAAAGAACTAACTTGGATTCCACTTATATCAAAGAAATTGACATGCACTTGTACTTTGCTTATAATAATGCATTCTCAAATAATGTATTTAATTAATACCATGATCAAACAATGCTCTAGTGGCTGATAGGTGAGTATAGTTAATACAGTTAGTTTTGGACCTGGTGTGATTGTGTGTGTGTGCACGTGCATGTGTGTGTGTGTGTGTGTGTGTGTGTGTGTGTGTGTGTGTATGTGTATGTCTATAGGAGGAAATAAAATTGTGTTTAATAACCATCATGAAACAGGAATGAGCGGGCTGCTTGTTGTCCTAGCCATCCCGCTAGCTTACACCCGAAATAACCACACAGAAATTGTATTAGTTAAATCAATGTCTGGCCCATTAGCTCTAACTTCTAATTGGTTAATTCTTACGTATTAGTTTAACCCATCTCCATTAATGTATATCGCCACATGACTGTGGCTTACTGACAAGATTCTAACCAGTGTCCGTCTCAGGCAGGAGTCCCATGCTGTCTACCTGGCTCTGCTCTTCTTCCCAGGATTCAGCTCTGTCTACTCTGCCTACCTAAGTTCTGCCCTATCAAAAGGCCAAGGCAGTTTCTTTATTCAACCAATGAAAGCAATACATAAACAGAAGAACCTCCTACACCACCATCGAACTTTGGGTCAGATATTTACAATCCTTTGCATGGGTCCTTTGATAGAAGAGAGTGCTTAACATATAGGACTCAGGAGTGTTTGTTCTCTGCTTCTCTAATTCAGTGACATCTATTAGAATTTAATTTTAAGATAGGGCTGTTATGATTTGATAATGGAATATATCCTGAAAGGTTCATATATTGAAAGCTTGGTCTCAATTTTGGTGTTCTGGAAACATTAGGAGGCAAGATCTACCTAGAGGAAGTAAGTTAAAGGTTCTTCCTTTTTCATTTTATGCCTCTTGTATTCCCATAGATGAAGATGGCTCCTTTCCACACCCCACCTTCTACAATGACATTTTGCTCAAATGTATAGTGCCAAACTGTGAGCTAAAAATATATCCTCCTTTAAGTTGGTCTATTAGTTAGTTGGTTACAAGATTATAAAATGACTCATAAAAGCAAATGGTACTAGAAAGCAAAGTCATTGTTGTTTCTATATCTGGCCATATGGTTCTTGAACCTTTGGAGCTGATTTGTGGGTAGAATTTGGAAGAATTAGAGGATGTAGCTAGAAAGTTTCTGAAATGCTATTTTGGAGGAATTGGGAAATGTAGATTAGAGAGAGTCTATGTTATACGTAATGTTTAATGTCTGGTTCTGTGGGAGCTCAGAAGGCCAAAATGCTGATAGACATACTGACTTTTAGGAAGAGGCCTATGAAGTTTCAGATGACAGTAGAAACTACTTGGGAACTGCACCTGATGCATCTGTGCTAGTTATGGCAAAGCCTCCATTTTTATGTATCCTGAAATTATGTGTTAGACTGTTTAAAAATGTTGGATTAGTAAGTTTGGTGAGTAAAATGGTAGGGCAATAGAGCATCAGGCGATGGCATGGTTTTTTGGTTTGTTTGTTTTGGTTTGATTTTTTTTTCTGGATGTTTTTAGCGAGGTTATGGTAAATATTGGTTTTGCAAGCCTCCAGAAGACAAGAATTTTGAGAGGATAAGACTTCCTCCAAGACTGCAAAGGAAGCTCTGGGAGTCCAGACAATTAAATAAAGTCAAATCTGAGCATCTATGGAGATGTCAGAATATTGAGGATCCCTGCAATGTTAAATGTGTGTCCAGAAAAGCTGGAAGCAACAAGAGGAACAAGACAAGAGAAAAGCTATGTGGTCAGCTGTGGTAGTACATTCAAGTATGATATGTTGAAGAGTCAGAGTCAAGAGGAACACAAGTTCAAGGCCAGAATAGCCCATGTCTTTAAAAGGGCTGGAAAGATAGATCAGCAGATAAAAGTGCTGCTACAAATCTGATCTTGATCCTTAGATCCTACATGGTAGAAGGAAAGAACTGACACCTATAAGTTACATGCTTATACTCCTCCTTAACACACATACACAAATTCATGCACACATGCACACACAAACACACACAATCACACATCATAAAACTGAAAAATAAATGAGAAAAACATTTAGCAGTCTGTGTTGGGTCTCTCTTATAAGGCAATGGGCAGAGGCCTGCTCAAGCCTTTGGGCTTGCACCACATGCCCTGTGTACTTGAAATGAACCAAGAATTTAATGCTTGATCTGCTGAGATTTAGTTTTACTTGGGGTCTGTTCTCTTTGCTATCATCCCATTTATTCATTTTGGAGTGAAATTATTTACTCCATGCCAATGTACCTTCAAGGTAACTTAAAGAAATTCTATAGACGTTTGTTAGGAATATTTCTTAGACGAGCTTCTCCGCTGATGCAAATAATTTCAATCAGACCAAATAAAAGATGCCCATGTTTAATGTAGTGCTCCTGGGTGGCACCAGAAAAGCATGTCAAGAAAAAGGGAGAGAGATGGGGAGACCATACAAAACCTTTTCTAGGGGGCAGTGCAATAAATAGGGGAGTGGTCCTGATCCTCCCTGGGGAGGGGTCACTGCTTGGTGGGCTTTCTTGATCCTCTCTGGGGAGGGGTCACTGCTGGGAGGACTTTCCTAGAGGTGGAGTCTGTACTAAGGTAACTCCCAGGGGAGGGGGCTTGAAATGGATGGGAGGGGCTGGGGTGATGCTTCCACCCAAACATCTAAAAATTTGCTTTAAGTTTCAGAAAAGATGCTTAACTTAAGATGTTAAGAAATCATTTTAATTTATTAATTAATGTGTGTGTGTGTGTGTGTGTGTGTGTGTGTGTGTGTGCCATATGTGGGAAATGGTTCTCTTTTTCTACTGTTTGGGCTCCAGGGATCTAACTCAGGTCATCAGGTTTGATCTCAAGTGCCTTTACTCATTGAACCATCTGGTTAACCTTTAACTTGAGCTTTTGAACATTGTTGAAAATGTGAGAACTTTGGAACCTCTTAAAGAAGGGCAAAGTATATTTTCTATTGTAATAGAGACAAAAGATTTTTTGGGACAAAAGATTTTTGGGGACAAAAATCATATTATGAAGTATGTGAAGAATCCTCCATTGGAAAAAAAACTTATGTACTAAAAATCTTAGCCTCCATTTGATGAAATTCTGGAAACTTGCGGCAGTAGGACCAAGTTGGAGGAAATATGTTAGTGGGTTTGGTTTCGTGAAGATATAGTACCACTGTTCCCTCTGATCTTACCTTTTTGTTTGCTAAGAATGGACGACACATGCTTGCTGTATGCCCTACCCCCAAATTTTCATCCTACGTACTTTGGACCAAGAAACAACAGAGTATTCTGTGAAACTAAGAACCAAAACAATCATTTTATTCCTTAAGTTGTTGTAGTGGGTATTGGTCACAATGATGTAAAAGCAATATTAACATAAGAGCCAAAATTCCACAGAATTCTGATCCAGGTCAAAATATACGTTAGAGACATGAAATCTTATTGATCAATGTTTATCTAATGCTTTACTATTAAATCCATTACTAAATCAAGATTTAAGAAAATGCTTATTTTTGTCCATAAAACCTGTTTTATTAACACTATAATTATCAATTACATTTCAAAATACTATAGTCCAAAGATTTTATAATTCTGTTATAAAACAAGAATCAGTGTGCTTTAATTACATTTTATTATTCCTTTTAAGATTGATATATCTTAACAAGAGCATCTTCACAGTGGTTGCAATTGATTCAGTCAGTATTCAACTAACTAGTATGTCAGTTTCCATGACTGTTTTTAATGTGATAGATAGCCTCTCAGAGGGATGCTAATGACTGCCACCTACAGACAGCCATATCACTGCACAAGCCCTTCCACCTCCTCTGTTGACTTGTAAATAGAGTAGGCATTGCAAAGGGATGCCACTTCCCAGGATAGTTCATGGTGAGGATGTGGCTTCAGTCTTTCTCATTTGGGTTGATTAGCTCTGAAGGAAATCATGTCATGCTACAAGCCTGTGAAAAAGCCCATATGGCAAAGAACCGAGACTTCTTCACAGCCCTGTGAGTGAGCCTGGTTGTGAATTCTTTCCCATTAGACCATGGAATAACTGCCCACTGGGCTGGCACATTCACTGTTGCATCAAAAGAAACCCTGAGACAGAACAACTCAGTTAAGTCACTTCTAGATTCTTGTATGGAACTAGAAATGGTTCATTTGGTCATTGTGTCTTGGGTGATGTATAATGTTTTATAGCATATTAATCACATATATTATTATATAATGCATACATAGATAATACTTCCATGTAGGGAATTGTATCTGAGTTTTATAACCCACTTGCTAGTCTCTGTTTGTTCTATTTGCTGTTAATAACAAACATATCATTGCATATTCTCCAAGATAATAAGGGGTAAAACTGGATATTGGATAAGAATTGTTAGCCATGCTAAATATAGACCATTAGTTCTCCATGAATTGCTCCTGAATCACTAACAATTATAGTATTTGGGACTTGTATATTCGTCTGTTTTGTGTTGCTATATCAGCACAGCACAGAGATGAAACCTTACAAAATAAACAAATAGTATTGTGAAAGACAATGAAGTATTCTATTATTCAATAATTTTTTATGCAGCAGCAGAGAATTACCACATATCTAATTTAAAAATTTAATGTCATACATCTAATTGAGTTGTTGGCTAGATGGGGTCCCACAGGAACCCCTAAATAACCCAAGCTATTGGAAAGACTAAAGCTTGCTCTCCAGAAATTGACAAGACCCCACTGTTGAGGACACATACACAATTTACAAATGAAGGTGTCAAGTTGGTGCCCACATAAAGCCTTCATCTCTATATTCCAGCATCTTTGGTACAAGAGCACACCCTGCATGCTCTCCAAAAAGAAACATAAATGCCAACCCAGTCACAGACCTTTTAATCTACACTAGTGTAAGACCTTCAAGACCTTTTAGGACAATGGTGGCATAAAGCTTGTGGGAGTAACAAACCAATAATGAT